AGAAGCCCTTTAGAACGCCTTGGAAACCTGAGTGGGCACCGAAAGCCCAACAGGTTTTGCATAGCTGTCTCAAGGCTCCGAGCTCGAATCTTGAGACTCAAAGTGGGGGCTCAGGGGTTTTGTAGGCTGTAGGCGCCTGGTTGATGGGGGGGTTTAGGGTTTAGGGTTTAGGGTTCAGGGGTTTGGGGTTTGGGGTTTAGGGTTTAGGGTTTAGGGTTTAGGGTTTAAGGTTTTAAGGTTTAGGGTTACAGAAAAGCTTTGAACACCCCGAAGCCTCGAAGTTCTTTTAAGTCATGGGATATTAAGAGTCGGCTGCAAGCTTTGATGTACTTGCAATCACCGCACGGGGCTCTGACTGCAAGCTAAAAGGCACCGGCCCCAGAAACTGGTTTAGGGGTTAGGGTTTAGGGTTTAGGGTTTCGGGTTTAGGGTTTAGCTTTCGAAACTGCGCGTCATGAAAACTTGAAGTTCGCAAACCCTGATCCTGGAGATGGCACCCTAGGCACCTCATACCCAGGTTTCAGGGGGGCTTTTTGTTCTTTTCAGATTAGGGCGTACAGGAAAGTTAGGGCCCAGGCAGGGTTTAGGGTTTAGGGTTTAGGGTTTAGGGTTTAGGGTTTAGGGTTTAGGGTTTAGGGTTTAGGGTTTAGGGTTTAGGGTTTAGGGTTTAGGGTTTAGGGTCTAGTGTTTAGGGTTTAGGGTTTAGGGTTTAGGGTTTAGGGTTTAGGGTTTAGGGTTTAGGGTTTAGGGTTTAGGGTTTGGGGTTTGGGGTTTGGGGTTTAGGGTTTAGGGTTTAGGGTTTAGGGTTTAGGGTTTAGGGTGTAGGGTGTAGGGTGTAGGGTGCAGGGTTTCTGCTGCAGTGTCAGACCTCCGGTGCCAAGTTCTCAGGCTTGAGCAGCAAACGGCGCGCCTCCGGGGGGGGGGGGGGCTAGGATAATCCCCCTGTATTTTTAATATTCTTTTTATTTATTATTATTATTTTTATTTTTATAACCTGCAAATTGAACAGGGTTGCCCCTTCCGTGCTTCATGGGGTTTTTCAGGGCACCTAACCCCCCCCCCCCCCGCCCTTCTTTCAAAAACAAGGAATAAGGGCACTACTGGACATCCTAGAAACAAGTGGGGGCAGCGACGCTGGGCTTTAGAAGCGTCAGTGACATCGACACAAAGGGAGGATGGCGTTGCCCACCGTTCATTAGACAAGCACACTCCAACAGCCTTCCACTGCCATTGGCTTCCCCGTGACTTGGGTACTGCCTCCAATGTAAACAGACAAACGCCCGGTGCCTACAGCAGGACACTCTGCACTCAGCCAGCCAAGCCACAGACTTACATGCACAAGTGCAGCATATAATGGAACTGAACCATCTTACACCCAGCTTTGAGTCTACCATTCTCTGAGCCGTCCAGTGGGAATGCCAACTTGAAGTTTCCTAGGCAGATGTCCCTGATTGGATTCCCACTTAAGGCCCAGGGGCCAGTTGCTAAACCCAAAAAAAGCACTTGGCTCCGCTTCGGTGAATCTGAAAGATTGAACTCGAGATCCTCAGGACTCTTGAGTTTGTGGACACCTTTAGACTGATCAAACCCTGAACCAATGATGTGGTTCAGTGGTTCAGGTGTGGGGGCAGCTCGGCGGAGGGGTCTGCCAAGGAGGGTTGTGGTGCTCCCACATAGACGAGCCTCTATCTTGCAATGCCGAGCCATACAAAATTCAACGTTGTAATCCTCAAGGCCCCAAAGTTCTGCCCCCTGAGCCCTATGCCTCAAACCCTAAACCCTAAACCCTAAACCCTAAACCCTAAACCCTAAACCCTAAACCCTAAACCCTAAACCCTAAACCCTAAACCCTAAACCCTAAACCCTAAACCCTAACCCTAAACTCCTATTTCTAGGCTGGCGGCCTGTGTTCCCGGGCCTCGCCAAGCATGATGGCATGGTCAAAATGACACCCAAGAGATGTAGGGTTTAGGGCTTAGGGTGCTTGCAGAGTTTTTAGGGCTTCGGCTGCTCTTGCTGTTTTTTTTTGTTGGGTGGTGCTCTAATTCGGAGTTAGATCTTGTCAAGGCCAGTCTAGGCCTTGCTGTGGATTGCGTGGAAGCCTGACACATTTAAGGTGTCGAAGGAAGGAAGCCCTCGCAGATCCAAGCGTGAAATAGTGCGAAAGGTTCACAGAGCCCCAACAAAAACCCTGCAAGTTGTAGGCTGTATGTCTCTTTCACAATACACTCAGCATCATTCTGGCTGAAGCACTGGCCGGTTCTCAGCAGCGCCAAGACCAAACTAACATCTGAACTCTACACCGACAGCACCACCGCCTTATCCTCCGATCCCGGAAGCCCAACATCAAGAAGACCTACCGCAATTGTACCAAGGCCAAGTCAAGCAAATCAGTCAACAAGGCCCTTGCTCATCCATAACTCTACGAAGCCTGATTCAAACCCTTAGCACGGGGTGGGGGGGATCCTCCTGCACCCAACCCTAAACCTCCTAGAGTCCCTGAACCATCCTGAACCCTAAAGTCCCCCAAGCCATAAACCCTAACCCTAAACCCTAAACCCTCAACCCTCAACCCTCAACCCTCAACCCTAAACCCTAAACCCTAAACCCTAAACCCTAGACCCTAGACCCTAAACCCCCAACCCACCTTGGTGAGGCCAAGCCACAGAAGTCCAGAACCTCCACCTCCCATCGCCCATCTTCGTTGGCAGCCCTTGGGTCTGCCAGGGTCTAGGGTTTAGGGTTTAGGGTTTAGGGTTTAGGGTTTAGGGTTTAGGGTTTAGGGTTTAGGGTTTAGGGTTTAGGGTTTAGGGTTTGGGCTTCTGATCACCCTCACCCAACAAAAGGGTTCGGGTTTAGGGCTCCGGGCTTAGGGTTTGGGGTTTAGGGTTTAGGCCGGGTTTAGGGTTTCTATGGCTCAGCAGGGGGGGGGACGTTGGAGGCCTACTAGCACGGCCTCCGGTAAGAGGCTCGGGAGTGTGATCTGGGGTGCAGGGCGCAGGGTTTCTGGGTGCGGCCTAGGGCTCATACGCCGACAAGAGCTGCCTGTCTAGAAGTTCTTTGCCGGGAACATCGCAGAAGGCCTTTGAGCCCCTAAAGCCTGACAGCTGCAAGCTGTCCTAACCCTAAACCCTAAACCCTCTGAAGCACCAACGGCTGTAGATAAACTTTAGCACCACCTGCCCATTTTGCAAAGTGCATGAAGCGACCAACCTCGCATACATTCTCATAGCAGGTGCCAGTCCTAAACCCAACTAACTCCCCAACCCAGAACCCCAAAGAAAAACTCCAGACTTCAGCTCTAAAGCCAAACACTAAACCTCACAATCTGACAGGTATCTCGGAAGTCACAAGACCCCACTCGGCATTCAGCTTGGGCTGGCTTTTCAAGCCGTGCCTGCGCGTTTGAAGGTTCGGGGTTTCTGTGAAGGGCCTTGGGGTGGGAGGGGAGGTGGGGGGGCAGGCTCGTGGCGTCCTTGGGTTCATAAGTTCACATTGTCAAAGGGACCTTGAGCCCCTAAGTTCTAAAGCCCGCGAATCGTAAGCCCGGAGACCTCAACCCTAAACCCTAACAAGCAAAAACACTTCTTAAATAGAGCTTCGGCTTCTGAGATCTCGAACCTGGCAGTGCCAGCTTCTGGCTTACTGTAGGAGCCGAAAGAATTAGAAGTTCTGGGGGGTTACTACAGTGCAGGCTTAGGGGTGTAGTGAACATGTTGCGGGGCCATGGGGGGCGTGCTGAATCATGCTTACGAGATCTTAAGAGTACAGTAGGTTTTGGTGGGTCCCGGATCAATTTCGGGATCCTATGCCTTTGGGGATGGGCATGCCAGAAGGGCGGTCGATGATTACACCGTAAAGTCGCTCTCACTTCGGGGGGGCTCGATGGGTGCAGTGTCACAGCTCTGCATCGGTTGAGGCATTGGGATGCAACTTAGAATCAAGTCAAGGCGCAGCATGACCACCTCAGCTGCCAGCATGTCGACCAGGTGGAGAATATCAAAGAAACCAACGCCCCATCGAAACGCTAAGCTTGATTCTCCGATCATAAGCCCTGCACTCGTGGGCTGCTAAGCGTTCACTACAAAGATGGGCTCCAAAGTAAGGCTGCCAGGACTTTACCGGCTCCCTGCGCGCAACAGCCCGCCTGCTAAACTCTTGCAAGCTGCCGCTGCCGATGGTGCAGTCTGCAGCCCAAACCCTGCCTTCCTCTGAAATTGCCAGAGAACCTAGCAACCCTGGAAAAGAGACCCCCCATGAGCCCATCCTCTTGAGATACTCAAACCTAAACTCCAGAAACCCCTAAAGCCAGGACTCCCCAGAACTGCAGCCGACGAACTTTGCCCTGCTGCAAGAGGTGGGCCATGCCCCCCGAAGCAGAAACCTCCGACAAGGAAGGCCAGGAGAACTCTACCCGTGAAGGTTCATGGACTCGGGGGTTCAGATCGTCATTGCGTCTTAAGAGTCTTAAGCCTTCAAAGTGTAGAGGGCTGGATGTACCATGCCTTCAGAGATGAGTCGTACATGCACACCGGCAAACTCGAGGAGCCGTGGCCTGAGTCAATCTATTTGTGGACTCGCAAACCAGGTGAAACTTCGCGGTGGCCACATGAGCGCGCGGCAAAACCTAGAGGCTACGGCTGGGACATTTGTTGAGGGTATCGCTTTTAGGGTTAGGTATCGCTTCTTTCCCAATAAAACCGTACTGCCAAGTCATGGAGGACCAGAGGCACTCTTAGCCAACCGATTTCAAGCCAAATGCACTGCATCAGCAAGCTAATCAACTCAAGTTATGAGGATAGAACTGACTGGTATCTGGGGGTATCGCTTCTGGGGATAGGTATCGCTTTCACAGCAAGTTTACAAATGTCCCGTCCAAGGCTACCTAGAGAGCCGCGGGATTTAGCCAGTCGCTCACATGTAAATTGCCACGCTGTCCTCGTCGACGTCCTCGCCTGGGCACTCGCTCGCTGCGATAACCTCTACTCCTGCAACCCCGACTACGTCGGCGCTGCCGGGTTCTTGTGGTGCATCAGTGCCAGTGCTAGCGAGAGGTGGAAGTCGAGGTCGCAAACTTGAACCATGTAGCTGGCGAAAGAAATCAAGCTCATCCACAAGCTCACATACTGGATAAGCATCTCGCCGGCGGTGACAACGAAAAAAAGGGAGTAGCCCGTGAAAATTGCGCAAAAGAAGGCCTCGGATCGCTGTTCTTCCTTAGTTGTCCCGTGCAGTTGTCACACCAGCTCTACTTAGGGTTTAGGGTTTAGGGTTTAGGGTTTTGGGGTTTAGGGTTTAGGGTTTAGGGTTTAGGGTTTAGGGTTTAGGGTTTAGGGTTTAGGGTTTAGGGTTTAGGGTTTAGGGTTTAGGGAATCTAGGGACTGGTTTCCACTCGGAGGCCCCAAAAAACTTTCTACAGGAGGCCAGAACTCTTCCATGAAGTGAAGGAGATCTCGGCGCAGGATGCCTCGCGCCACGCTGTCCTTGACTGCCTGACGCGACATCTGCTCTCATACTCTACTCTGCATGGAACAAAGCCGGGCACATCCAACAGCTACTACTACGTATGTAAATATAAATAAACAAATAAGTCTAAATAAATAAATAAATATATATATATATGAAAACATTACTATGATGCCAATATACTCTATTACAATAGTAGAAACTCATTTTGCAGGGGTTCAGCATACAGTTGTGCTTGTCGTATTTCGTACATAGTCCCATGACGTATCTTGCACAATGCTTATGTACCAACCCTGACATGAAAAGGATACGGCGAAGCCTGCAACAGGTTCCACGGCTTCAGGATGTACATCTGCGTTATACGAGCTATCACGAACGCCACAAGGCCAGCAACGACGTACTGCTTCCCAGACAGGAAGACAAGGATGGTGTTGATGTCCAAGCCCACATCAAGGAGCATGACGAGCAGCTTGACATAAAGCCCGCCCCCAAGCCAGGAAAAACCTCGGACTGGCTTGATCCCCTGGCTCACCTCAGCGAACTGTCCTGGTTGAAGTTTGAGGAGCTCTGTGGCTGCCTGCTGCATGTCGACAACCTGCGCCTTTCCGCCGCAACTCTGCCAATTCTGCGAAGTTCGCGGCAGGCAGAATCGCAGGAGCCCCCCGACGAGATGCAAAGACAAGAGGAAAACCAACAGGAAAACACAGGCCATGGCTGAATGATTGTCGAACTCCCAAAACTCGAAGGGTGTTACAGGCCCTGCCCACTGAAAGAGCCAGTGGCTCTGCAGGCTGTTGTGCGTGTCCTTCCACACGTTGTGCACCCTTGAGCCCAACTCAAGAAGGTTTTGGTTCAACCCAGGCGACAACAGTCCCTCCAGCATCTGATGGTCAACACCGGGGAGAGCCCACAGGTAAAATACAGCCACGAGATGCAGCCCTTCCAGCACAAGCGCGCGCACAAGGGCCGCGACATAGGCTGCAGGACTGCTTGATGCAAGTACCAGGACTGGGTGCTGCAGGAGCTTCTTGGGCCCATAGATTGCAATGGCTGGTGCCAAGTAGAAGAACGTCGCCAGCGGAAACCAGAACCTCGGATCAAAGTTGGCCACGGCGCCACCATACCACAGCCGTGCCACAATGACCTCAAGAAGGCGCCAGAGAAAAGAAAACCAAACACATCTTGCAAATGCCCTTGCCACCATGCGTTTGGCCCCTTCCTGGTATACATCTTCGTCACAGCCTGCGTCCACTCCGCATCGTTTAGCGGCTGCCCGTTCCAGGGCCACAGCAGCTACTGCTGCAAGAAGAGCAACTGCACAAACCACCCATGAGCTCCAGTCTGGCGCGAGCTCAGCCTGCTCTTGGGAAAGCTCGGCGCTTTCGAGAAACTTCCTCGCCTCGTCATCGATAAGCAAGTCCACCAGTGCAGTCCCAAAACTGTCGCGAAAGCCCATGTCGCCGCCACACTGCAGCCACAGCTCCACCTCTGGCTTCGAAAGAAGGCTTACTCCCACGCAACGAAGGTCAACCGCTGCGTCCTTCCACGTGGGGTCGTCCAAAGCGCAACCGAGGAACACCACAAAGTTGCAGGAGAGAAGGTCGTCGGGGGCCAAGCTTCCTGGAAACTGCAGCAGAAAGAGTGCCATCTCCACTTGGACATTGAATGTGGCTATTTGAAGGGGCGTAAGACGACAGCCACAGTTGTGCGCACGCTGATGCCATCCTGGAGGCTGATGCTGGCTCGTAACCCTGGAATCCCTGGAGAACAAGGAGGAATACCTCTGGAAGAATATTTGCACAAATCCCAAACAAAGTAGGAGATCAACTGCTTTTAAGAGAACCCCAGATTCCGGCCAGCTCTCAAGCAGCCGCCGAGCTGTTGCCAACTTTCCCGTTGCCGCCGCCCAATGTAGCGGGGTATTTTGTCCCAAAGCCAAATCCTTGCTTGTGCAGTTTCTGGGGGTTTAGGGTCTAGGGTTTAGGGCTTAGCAGAGGCTCCCTTCTGTACCCCCACCGTCCTTGACTTGGGCTCCTTCGGGTTTGCGATCCAGGAGGAAGTCGAGCACCTCCACACTACCTCCGACCGCAGCATAGTGGACGCAGGTGCCGCCACCGGTGAGGTAGTTATTGAAACTTTCGACTTTCGAGAAGAGGGTGATGCTGTCTGGCCAAAGCTCCAGCAGGAACTGCACGGCAGGCAAGTGGCCCCAAAGCGATGCAGACATAAGAGGCAGCCAACTGCTGTGCCGGACTTGTGGGGCTGGTGTGTGAAAGGCCTGGATTCCTTCAGGCCACTGGCTGTGCAAGAACCTCAGTACCTCAACCTGGCCAGTATCAGCCGCAATATGCAGCAGGGTCGCTCCAGTGTCTCCGGTCCTTTGCTTCACTCCTTCGATTCCGGAGCCTTCGGATTCGGCCTGGAGCATCAAGCGCAATGCCTCCACATGACCCCCCCAGGCAGCCGAAAACGGAGGAGTGAAGGCAACACTTTGGGGTCCATGGCTCACAAGGCCATGTGTCGGAACGGCGGCGCCCTCTGGCCACTCCTCAAGCAAAAACCGGAGCACGGATTTGTGGGTCATTCACGGCTGCCATGTGCCACAGCGTGAGGCCGGGCTCGGTTTTCGCTTTCAGAGCTTCCGGTGTACGGAGCAACAAGAACTTCAAGGCATCTAGCTGGCCACTGAAGGATGCAACGTGTGCGAGCGTTTCTCCTGAACCTCTGGTGATGTGGAGGCCGTCAGGCCAGAAGTCGATCAGCACTTGCAGAATGTCAACATCACCATCAGCAGTGGCATTGAAGAGAAATTCTTGCAGAAGGTCTCCACTCTCGTTGAGCCGTCCTGAAGCCACCAGCTCCCTGACCTCCTCTGCGTCGAACGACTGTGCGGCACTAAGAGCAACGAGCGATAGGGACAGAAGGACCGCACCAGGACTGATCCGCTTCACGGTTTCTCGGGGTCGCATGGCGTCCTCTATCGCTGGCCACCCTGATCCGAACACTGCGATATCGAAAAAACAGACAACGCTTGATGAGTTGAGGTTTACAGGCCGCCAGTTTCAAAAGGCATCCGGAGGTTGTAACCGACCAACTGATACCAACTGCACTGTTTAATGTCGTCGTTGTTTGGCCTCGTAGTCTTTACTTTCCCTCCGATGTCAAGTCCCACCATTGCAAAAGCATTGCGGCGGTGGCCTCTAAGCCTTTCTTCACGACCCGCACGTCCACGGGACCTGCACACAGTTGAGTGTGAACTTGGCGAGTGAAGTCAAAAGGTGCAGCCTGCGCCAGCCTAGCACCGCCTCATCCCACATATCCTTGACCAATGCGAAGCCCACAACATGTTGGGGCTTGCGGGTATTTTGGTGTGGAGATTTCGGGCTCCGGCAGCTTAGAGGCCGCCTCCAAACCTGAAATCCACGGGCCTTGCTTTAGGGCATCTTCCAAAGAATGCTGGCGTAACTAACGCTATCAAGGATGGCTATCATGTCGCTTGCCTTTCTCCATGAGCCTTCCAGCAGGGAATGTAGCCATGCTGTTGGCCTCATGCCTTTTTAGCATGCGCGCTTCTTTGGCTTTTGAGACCTATGGGCATACAGAGTTCAGGGTTCATCACCTCACCCTGTGTCATGGCTTCCCAACAGGCTTACAGCCCCTGAAGCCTACTCTAAGCCAGCTTCAGGGTTTGAGGCTCAGCATCCGTGAGCCCTGAAAGCCTCATGCTGCCCCTGGAGCTCGGGAGCTCGGTTCCAAGCAACAGAAACCTGGTGTTTTTTTGTGCAGAGCCTACAGCCCCCAACCATGCTCCCCTTAAGCCCTAAGACCCACATGTAGGCTGTCAAAGAACCTCAAATCTGAAATCTTGAACCCTAAACCCTAAACCCGAAACCCTAAACCCTAAACCCTCAACCCTAAACCGGGCTTGAACCCTCTGCGCCCCGCCTTGTTGCATGCAGAAGTGCTTCGAAACTTCGATGGTCCAACCTCGAGGTTGCACTCTTCAAGCTTTAGGGTCAAGCCGAGACAGTTTGTCCCGATGTACTTTAAACAAGTGAAGACCGTGAAAAAAAGGTACACGAGCCTTTGTGACCCTGCCTGAGGAGGCTCGCTCGCACGCACGCACGCGCGCACACACACACACACACGCTTTCCGAGTACTCCAGACATTTCAGGTTTAGGGTTTGGAATTTCGGATTTGAGGTATCAGGGGTCCTGCAAGTGCCTTTTCAGCAACAAGAAAGAAGGGGTTTAGAGCTTTGTGAGCTCAAGGTCATGATCGATTTCTGCAACAGCCTTGAGGGCAACCAGTTGGCGATAAGCTACAGATTTAGAAGTCAAGTTCAGGTGATTCAAGTGGCTCGTGTGTAGCCACCGTCTGAACTCTGCACAATGCGAAAAGCTGTGTTTAGTTCTTCCTGATTGGCAGAACTATGGGTGGCGATGCTGAGGTTGAGGCAAATCGAACTCCCTAACCCTCCTCCCACCACCCCAAAAGTCTTAGGATACAGGGCTTACGGTTTGCGGTGGGATGCAGCCGGGTAGCATCCGGAGCTGTCGGGACCTGTGAATAAAACTGCAAGGGTGTGTGCAACTTTCTTGTCCCTGCTGGAGCCCTTGTTCGGAGGTTCATAGGTGAGTATCCACTTCGAAAGAAGCTCACGCACTGGGAAGCCTGTGATCCACCTGGAGCTTCTCCTCACTGCAGCCCCACCAGCCCCCAAGCCGGGGGTAGGGGGGCGGAGGGTGGCGTTGACTCTTTCGGGAGCACAACGCATAAGCGCACTGCAAATCCCTTGGAACCGCTGTCCAGCTTTCGTTTTGGCCGTTTCATTGCCCAAAACTGCGAGGGCCAAATCCAGGATTGCATGCGATTCAGCCCCCCAAACCCTAACACCCTAAACCCCTAAACCCCCTAAACACCCTAAACACCCTAAACCCCCGAACCGTAAACCACAAACCCTAAACCCAATAACCTTATAACCCCTAAACCCCCCAAAACCCTCGCAAAAACCTGCACTCTGCCTCGGGATCGAAGAGCGCCTTCGAACCCTTCGGCCGCCCTGGGCTGAGAGGGCAGCAGGCCTGGGACCTTCCAGCCTACTTGTGGAGGTTCAGACTTCAGGGCCCCAGTGTTTGGGGAGGTTTTGGGGTTTAGGGTTTAGGGTTTAGGGTTTAGGGTTTAGGGTTTAGGGTTTAGGGTTTCAGGTTTAGGGAGTTAAGAATTTGGAGCCTCCAGCTAGAAGGGCACGGTGGGCTTGTTGGAATTTTCACTCGTTGGAGCTTTGCGGACAGACAGATAGCCGCAAAAGCCCCAAGAGGTGTTCGATTGGGTGAAGACTGTTATGTGATTTGCAACGCTCACCACCACTGTCCCAACACCTCCAAAAGAGCGTGTGTTCTCCTTGTTTGCGGAAAGCACGACCGGGGGACGGGGGGATAGCCCCGAAGCTTCCTAGAACCTTACGAGTGCTTCAAGCCCAACCTGAGACTGTGACTTCTCCAAATCTTCATGAACATCTGCTCAGCCGCCCTTTGATTCGGACTTCTTCCCCAAGCGCCAGCTTCGTCTTGACCTCGAGGCTGTCTACGTGGATCTGCCTCGGTTCAAGGAGGCCAAGACGATTAAAGTTGTGCTTTGGAAGGTCCAGCCGACCTTTCGTTGGAAGGGCTACTGTAGGTCACTGTAGGTGAATTGCCTGGGGTAGAATTATGTAGGATTTGGGTGCACGCATTGAACTGCGCAGCAGAAGCTTCATGCTAGGTTGAGATTGGATCCTATGTACGTGCTTGCAAAGCGCTGAAAGCACAGGATGCTCTCATCTCAGGCTGTGGTTTGGAGCTTTTGGTCTGAGGCGGGGTAGGCTCATGAATAACTGTCCAGGGGCCAAGTCTTGCTGAACTCGACGCCATCAACAGGGCGATCCGCTTTCCTGAGATGTGAGCGGTTTGAGGAAGCTGTTGGGCGAGTACTGCTTGGGAAACACGAGAACGCTTCTGCCTCTTTTCCTGGGACGACCGCAGGTTTCACTTTGTTCCCAAACAGCGTGTCAACACCAGGGGTTCTTACATTCAGAGTAAAAGAGAGATGGATTGAGCTGTGCGCGCAAAAAAACCGTGGAAACGCAGACGTTCTTCTTCCAGCGGTGGTCGCATCTTTGAGGCAATGCGTGCTTTTAGCACATTGCCGCGGCCGTCCCCAGAAATCGGAGCCCCGAAACGTCGCAAAATGCATGCTTTTGGCTTCGTGGAGGTTGTCGAATCGCGCTCTCGCCTAGGCCCCTTGCGCATTTCGTGGTGCTTACGCGTGGAAATCGTGCTCTGCGCCCAGGTCCCGTGCATGTTTCGAGGCTTGGATGGGTTCGCTGCGTGCGGCCGACTAAGGGGATTTCCAATTCTCGCGATGTTGGAAATCGCGCTCCCGCCGTGCCCATCGTATCCCATCGTAACTGTCCTCGCTTCTGGACACCGGGGTGCGTCGAACCAGAAACTGTCGTCGCTGTTGGTGTTTTTCGAGGACAACAGGAACTCCGGTGGCTCGAAAGTTGACTTTTGTCTCATCGTAGTACCAACGTAGAACGACGAGGACATCTGGAGCTCGGGTGCCTCGAAAGTCGACTTTCGTAGTGCAAAGTACGCGGAGGACGTCTGGAGCTCCAGTGGCATCGAAGCCGTTCTTTGGTGATTCATGAAGCTCTTCGTTTCCCTATGCGGTCTCTCGCTGTTTGGAGTCTACGCTCTCAGAACTTGTGCTGGGGTCTGGGCTCGGGTTTCTCGACTTCTTAAGATACAGACACCCGTCCCGCGACTCCTGATTGTTTCTCATGTGCACACGGGGCAAGGGAAGAGACTGCACCTCAAACACTGAAAACCCTGCCTTCGACACACAAATCTGTAAGACTGCTGGGCCAGGACGGAGGGAGAAAAGTCCAAACAACACGGCTGCTGAAACCACCCAATCCGAGGCCTCGACTCGCACACCTAGGGTTTAGGGTTTAGGGGAAAAAGGGTTTCGGGTTGCGGGTTGCGGGTTTCGGGTTCATCTTACAGAACCCATGCAGTCGGGTTGGAGGTTGCAACGCAGCCAAGGCTCACCAGAGCTTTGAGGCCGCTCAAAGACTTCCTGAGAGTGGAGAAGGAAGCTTTCGAGTCTTCGGCGCCCTCAGCCTTACATCCTAGCAACACCTAATGTGAAACTTGAGCCCTAAAACCTTGCAGACCTTCAAATGCCAAACCCCTCACCTTCACACCACGCCTAAGCGCCTTGAAGCCGAGAGCCTCTCGAAAAGCAACGCCCTCAACCACAACGACTTACAATGTGGCGGCTCTCATTGCAAACCAATATAGGGGCCTTGATACGTAGAATAGGGTGTTGGGGCTCTTGTCGCATCATTATGTAGGGACCATATAAGGGAATATGATTCGCAATTCTTCCGACCCCTGTATTATACCCAAACCCAACCTTCGTGATGCCATCCCGTGCTGCCAGGCAAGGGCTTCGTGCGGAGAATTCTTGCGTGTAAGGTCTTGTGGAGGGCCCAGAGGGCCAGGTTTGAGGGAGTTTGTGGCTGGCGCTTCCAGCGCGTGCACAGGAGCAAGGGGGGCGCAAGCTTGTTGCATAGCCTGGGGATGGTCATTTCATCCACCCTATGATGACCTCAAGGGTGCGGAAAGATTAAGCTCAAGCGGCGACTGCGGTGAGCCCGCCGAAGGCTCCGTGTCTGCCTCCCAGGGAGGTTGGGCGAGGTATTCAGTCTTCAGGCATGGGCTTGCGAATTTCGATCTATCTTTAGCCGTTTAGAATCCCATGAGGTTTTGAGAGCTTGCTCGAGTTTAGGCGGCCAGTGAAGAAAGGCTTGCAACATGCTGAGACATTTGAGCAGCCTTGAAGCGTTAACTCCAATGCCCTGCAAGAGTCTCCCGAGAAAGCCCCCTCCCCAACATCCTCAGCCCCCCACAAGCACCCAAACCATTCCGTAAGGCTGAGCCCGTTTACGCTGGAAACGGAGCCTAGTCCGCCCCCCCCCCCCCCCCCGGCGGGAAGAACCTGGGCAAGAATCAAGTTGGCCATCTTGAGGGCGATCCTCTTGTTCTCCTCAAGCGCAGGCTTTCGGGCACACGGTTTTCAGATGGGCGTCAAAGGTTTTTGCATTTCCAGGACCTTTGGGCTCACTTGAAGGCTCTGCGGAAGTGCGGAACCTACAGCTATAGCTGATGCAATGTTTACCTTGTATTTAGAATCCCCGGCTGCAATTTGTGCAAACGTATTTTTACAACATCTCCCCCACCCTCCCCGCACCCGCATTTGCGCAATCCGAATCCTTCTGCCCGGATATGAACTGAACATTACCACCAACCTTCACGTAGGGTGGAGGGGCCTGGGTCTGCACCTTCGGGGGGAGAGGACAAGGGGGCAGCATCTTCAGCTCGAGATGGATGGAGGACTTGAGTACCAGGCGGGGAGACGAGGTTCAACCCTAAACCCTAAACCCTAAGCCCTACGCCCTAAGCCCTAAGCCCTAAACCCTAAACCCTAAACCCTAAACCCTAAACCCTAAACCCTAAACCCTAAACCGAACCCTAAGGAAAACAAGAAACCTATTGTTGAATAGGGCTCATAGCAGAACCTAACGCAGGAAAACAAGAAAAAAAAACAAACAGGCCACTATAAGCTAAACTCCGGGGTGAAGCGTCTTGTGTTTGTCGTCGGGCTGTTAGGGGGGTCGTTTCTGGATCAGCGGGCAGTCTTGAATGCATTATTGAGGGTTGACGGTTGACGGTTGAGGGCCTAAAGGTGACGGTTCCGAAGCAAACGTTCCAAAACCCTGGGAAAAAAAAAAACTGAAAAGTTACTGGCCAGGTGTCGCTTCCCTTCTTCACCTCCACTTCCCAGCGGCCCCGCTCGTTGGCAAGGGTCATGATGGTACCTTCCAGGGCCTAAAAAGCCATAAACTGAAACGACCCCGAAGAGCAAAATAGGTTCTGCGAGCTACGTATAGTATAGGGTTCATCCACGCCTCTTCAGGCCAGAACTTTCAACAATAAACCCAGCAACAACTCCAACCCTGCACTCCAAATTACCCCCAAAGCCCAAACAAACAACCACGAGACCAGATACCTCAAACGACCTTCAAACATTCAATGCAAGTCCAGAGCCGGAACCACACGTTTGAGGAATTCAGGGTTTTCCCATCAGGATGCGGTCTCCTAGCTCCTGGCACCGTGCAGCCGACCCTGTGTGGTGCGTGGCCCAAAGATTTAGAGTGCAGGTATCACATCTGACATGAAAGCCTTACAAGTCACAAGCCCTGCGCAGCCCCACGACCCCGATCCCACCCCCCCCCGACCTGATTTGCCATTAAGCTCCGGCGACGACTGGAGACCGTGAATCTCAACCTCCAGGCTTTGGCTTCTGGCAAGGCCTTTGAAACCAATAGCATGCGCCGCGAATCACAGCGAGCCAAAGTCCTGAAACCCTTGACTCTAAACTCCTGAATCCTGTCATAGCCGTCTGTCCCTGGGATGCAACACTCCATGGGATAGATAAACTGAAGAAAGACGAAGTAGCAGTGTATAGTATATACTCCACAAAAGGAAAGACAAGGAACGAACAGATGCCATTTGTTGGAAGCTGGCTGTTGTTGGGCTGGGTTTCGACGCTTGCAGTATGACAGGCGGTTGCGCGGACCAGGACAGCAAGGCATGGCCGCAAGAGACACGTCATGAAGCTCCTCGAACCCTGAACCCTGCACCCTAAATCTGCAACCGTAATTTTAAACCCTAATTAAACCCCAAACCCCCAAACCCTAAACCCTACACCCTTGATCTCCTAGGTCCGACAAAACGCACCGGCCTTGACACCAGGAACCAGGGCGCGCGAGAAGGCCTCCTGCAAACGGCCAGAAAGAAGAGGACGATCCAAGACCCTAAACCCTAAACCCTAAACCCTAAACCCTAAACCCTAAACTACCCTAAACCCAAAACCCAAAACCCTAAAGCTTGGGGTTCATGGTCGACTTCGTATCGGGTTTCGTTGTTGCCCGAAGACGGCGGAACTCTTGCAGCAGAGCCCTAAGGCCGCAAAATGAAGCACTCCACACGGCGTGAACAGACCGGCAAAAATCCGCAAGTCGGAGCAACATTGTTTAGTGTCCGGCTTTCGGGAACGCTGGAACAACAGGGGTGCTGTAGAAACCGAATTTTGACATAGACTGAGCACGCCAATGCTTCGCCAGACAGCCTGAGTGCAGCACAGTCTACCACTCTACGCAAAACAAACAGCTATGGAACAGCTATGGATATAGCCATGAGGGTTCCGTCGTAGAGTTGCAAATGGTCAGGACACTTTGCTTCACGCAATGCTGGCAGCCCTAAACCCTTCCCTAGACGCACTGAACCTTCAAGTAAGCTTGGTTCCTCCAGGATCTCCGGATTGCTGGTGATCACTGGCTCTCCTGAGCTTCGATCTTTCGCGTTTTGAGGACATCGGGCTTGTGGTTGCAAGAGGCCCAACAGTGGCGCAGGGCTCAACACGCAACCCTGATTCAACCCCAGACCCTCGAACCTCCACCGTTTGGCCCTAAATGCTAAGTGGGCCATGGACTAACCGGGCTCGAGGAGATGTGGACGCCCTCCAGAAGGTGAACTTCAAAGTACAGAGGCCCAGCTTAAATTTAAGTTTCAGTCTTTCAATCTGGGCCCTTTTTTTTGGGGGGGGAGGGGGGGGGCCTGTCGGATGCCTTTAGGGTTTAGGGTTTAGGGTTCAGGGTTGAGGGTTCAGGGTTCAGGGTTCAGGGTTTAGGGTTTAGGGTTTAGGGTCCCTTTCCAGTCCTATTCCTGGGCTTCCAAGAGCGCGAGGGATGAGGCGCTTGGCCTTCATTGTGCCAAGTCTCCCTGTATCAGCGCATCCTTGCAGCTCGTGGTCCCTAAACCAAAACCACAGCTTCAACCCTAATTCCCATACACCCACGATGTCAAAAAAAGGGGTATTCAACACAAAACAAGCCGCTTTGGCGGTGGGGCTTGGGGCTTTGATTCGAGAGGTCACACGGGAAAAGGGCAAAGCACCATGAATTTTGTTAAAGGGAGGGAGGGGGGGGGGGGGGGGGGGGTCAGGGCCCCAACTCTGAGCCCCTCAATGGATCTTGAGATGATCTTGAATCACGAGACACCTGGCCGTGCAATCTCAGCTTGTCCGTTGGCTACCCGGAGCCCTGAGCCCCTAAGCCCTTGGAGTCCTGTTCTCTGGCTCTAGACCCTCTCAACACCGGCATGATCAGTCTCTTTCTTTTAGGGTGCTGCTGAACAGGGTGACAAAGCCTCCAATGTTAAGGTTTCAAGCATTATATACTGCTCACTGCTGAGGGCTTACAAGACTTGGGGGGTTCGGATTTGGATTCTGAGAAGCTTGCCTCCGGCTCAGGGAGCTAACTTCAAGGTCCAGGGTAGCACATCCCCAACCTGCCATTCCTACCCAACACTCTTGAACCGAGCCCATGACGCCCGAAACTCCAGACCCAACAGCCATTTCCAGAAATCTCGAACAAAACTAACCACTTCGTTCAACCGGTATGAGCATGCAAATGTGAGTAATGAGAGTTACCAGAACCCTCGTCCAAGATGTTGGCACGTGCAATGTATTGGACTTCCAGCGTGCCCCGATATGCATACCGGCCGCGAACTCTGACTTGCCCTACATGGCTGTAAGGCTTGTAGTGCGTAAAACTCACAGACCAGAAGGGAAGAAGCCAGAGTCTCGATGGGTCAGGGTTACCAGCCCCTAGAATGAAGGCCTAAAGAACCTGCAAGGGAGTCCACCGCACCCCTATCCCGCAACATCCTGAACATGAAGCGCGATTGGCATGACAGCCTGTCGTGGACGGTAGATGTTGATACTGTGGTATGTCCGTGTCGCTCCGAGTCCTCAAGTCCCGCGAACTCCCAGCCAGAAATGCTCCACCCGAGTTGCCGTCTGCTTGCAGTGGTCGAAGAAACACTTCCAGTTGTGATCTTGGGAAAGCCTGGGCTGGAGATCTTTGGGTGGTCCTTCTTGTAACATCCTCGAGAGCTGTGTTGCCACCCCTTTGGTTAGGTTACCTGCGCTATCATGCCAACTTGGCCGGCTTATTGAGTCTTTTAAGTCTTGTTTCGTGAGGGGCATAGTTTCATGAGAGTTTCTAGCTTCAGGGCTACCCAGGAAGACAAGAAGGCTTCAAGCCCGACTCACTTTAAGTTCCTTGGGTCGCCCGGTAGGGTTTGGGGTTTAGGGCTTTGGGTTTAGGAGTTAGGGTTTAGGGTTTAGGGCTTTTTGGCTGTGGGGTTGTTACGCGGGCTTGGGGTTTGGCTCCACTTGGATTGCTTTGGGTTAGGCGGCTGTCACTACAATCGGGGGGCCCATGCGTATGCGCCCTGTCCAACTTGCTGCATTGCAGACTGGGAAGCGTCACTTCGTGGCCGAGGACGATGAGGCCGCGTCGCGCACGCGTAAGGGCCACATTGAGGATATGCGGGTCCGCTACGATGCCTCGAGGGGATCCAAGCATTCAGGTTTTGTGCATGCTTGGCATAGCCCTGTGGTTACTTTGCGTGGTGCGAAACAACCAAATTATCAAGATGCACCGTAGAGGTCGAACGCATGCAACAACAAATATTGCGACCCAAAACAGAGGAGTAAGTTGTCATTCCAAGAAGTTGGCATTGTGAGAGTCTGCCAGTGTAGCTGAGACTGCCAGTTCAAGCAGCTTTCGGGATCTGGGCTTCATCCTTCCGGAATGCCACAATGTGATGTCGACTAGGAATTGCTCTTGATGCTTTCCAAGAACAGCTTCCTCAATACCACCCTTATTACGTACACAACCAAGGACCACAGCCTCAACTGCCTCTTGTCCGCACCTTCTAAACGAGAACTGTATAGCTAACCTCAGCTTGAAGCCCTGAAAACGCTAAACTCTACACGCAAACCCCGAACCAGCATCACATTCCGTTCCACAACTACTGTCGGACTCAGTGGCCTAGGCGTCCTTTCACAGCGGGGCCGCCGCGCCTCTCTGCTGTGGTTAATGACTGGCAACGCTTACAGCCGTGAAAGGTGGGGCTTAGGAGTTGTAGTTCAGGTGTAGGCGAGGGTTTAGGGCTTAGGATTCAGGGTTTGAGGTTTAGGGCCTTCCTCTACGGCTTGAGGGCCTTGAGGGTGTTGCGCAAAGGCTTGACAGGTCTACGCCTGTCATGTCAATAGAGTGAGGCCCTGCTCAAATGAGTGTTTCCCAAAATAGGGGTACCCCTTTTATGCTAGAATCTCCTTAAAGGGGCCCTCCAAAAAGGGTACCCCTATTTTCGGAAAACCCCGTATTGAACCCAGCGCTACTTGTAAGTTTGTAGTTGCAGGCGCCGGGCAGGCTTGGGATGCCCGATGTCCGCGAGCAAGTACCCGGTTGAAGGTTGGGATGCTCCCCGCCCCCTTATACTAACAGTCCTTAAATAGGGAAATATAGGGGGGTACTATAATCCCCTATTAAGGACTCTCAAGTTGGGGATTAAGAGGGCTTGAAATCTTAGGGTAGGCGGGTTTATTGCGGACTGCCCGCGTCGAGCCCAAGCAGGGAGCCACAAGAACATCAAGCCTGCCCTCAGCATCTCTACCTTGCTACCTCACAGCTCTGCTTGTGCACAGCTCCGTTTAGGGCTCCCAGACCCCAAAAGTCCAAGAAGCCTCACCGTACTCAGTAAGACATAGTCCCACTCGCTGCCCTGAGCTGTAGCAACCTGAGCATAGTGGCTGGGTATTGGACATGGTTGAGGCGCCAGAACCATCAAGCCTAAACCTAGAAAGGATAACAATGACTCCAACCCTCACGCTTGTTTAAACCATGGCCCTAGTCTGAAGCCCAGGCCTCTTCTCGACCTTTCTCCTCTGGTGTGCTTAAGGCTGCTGTGGCCTTGTGCTGCGCTTTGACCCCTCAACCCCAAACCCGAACCTAAAGCTTGGGATCTTCCCCTTGTACTAACAGTCCTTAATAAGGATTATAGTACCCCTCATCATAATCCCTCTTAAGGACTCTTAGTAGAGGGGGGAACATCCCAAGCCCTTAAAGCCCTCAAAGCCTGAAACCCGAAGTGGGGCTCCCGGCGCTGCCCACATGGATGCCCGGACAGCGCCTCGAAGCTACCATATAAAGCAACATACAAGGCTCAAAAGGCTTTCAAGGGCCTTAAGAGGGCTTTAAAAAGGGCTTTAAGCGGCTTTAAAAGGGCTTTAAAGGGCTTTAAACGGCTTTATAGGGCTGTTTTAAGGGTTAGGGCTTGAAGGATAATCAAGGGGCTCGTGGTTTAGAGTAAGGCTTGGGAGCTTCGCTTTCGGGCTTTTGGTGCAAACAAAGACACTTTCAGCTTCTAGGGCTCAGGGCACTTCGAAATGAGCCTCTACAAGGAAAGCGCTGGGGAGCCATGTGGGCGTTCTATGCTTCTACAGTCGTCAATGTGCAGTCTCAGGCTCAGCTCCTCCACAATCGCGGCCACCTGCGCCCGGTACCAACCTCAAAGCGCTTCCTACTTCCCAGACGGAGCGTGTGGCTTAAGGGATACCGTCTCAACGAGGTTGCAGGCAGTTCAGCATGGTATCAGAAATGTCCGAGTACGAGTTCGATGGCTTGGGGGGGTATTTGGAGTGTTGGTCCTAGAGGTGCTTGGGAATCAGGGAAGCAGGGACACTGTAAATCTCTTTAGATGTTGATGCAGGGGGAAGGAAGGTACCCTCATTCCCTCATTCTATACTCAGCACTAGTAGAACAACTAGAACACTTGGGCTCCACTGGAGTGACTGCGATGTGCCGATGCTGAAGTGAGCTTTTGGGAGTTGAACATGAAGAGGGCCCCTATGCAAAAGCAAGCAAGCCGGGAGTTTACCTGGGAGGTTCGGAGTTCAGGGCCTGCCGAGGACAACCGGAAGCTTCATTGAGCTGTCACGACCCATGATCTTACATCTGACAGGGCTTCCAGTTTAGGGTGTAGGGTTTAAGTGAGCTTTCGGTCATGGACTAAGGCCCCCGCCGAAAGCACAGATCAAGCTCAAACCCTAAACTCACCCACACGCAAACCGTTCCCACAGCCATCAGCGCTCGAATTCGTGCATGTCAGGGACAGCTGAGGTTGCTCAAAGCTTTCAGGCGCTAAGGTGGACTTAGGGTTGCAGGTTTACGGATCGTTGAAGCCCCACGTGCCATGCCAACTACCCGTGGCGGGTGCCTTGAAAAGTCAAGAGGTCCCCAAACCCTCAACTGAAGACCTGATCCATCTGCCGCCCAAAATGCAGAGGATGCCAACGGCCGACGGCCCTGCCACCTTTGCCAGCTGCTCGGCCAGGCGCGCAGCACACCGTGCCTGAGAATGGACGAGCTTACCTGCGGGAGCCTTAAACCAAAGACCCTACACTAGGATGGCCCCTCTGAACAACATGCCTGAATATGATCCTCTTAAACGCCAGTAAGGGAAACTGTAAAATGTCCCAAGGCCCTACCTAGTAAACTCTAAACCGTTCAAGACAAAGCTTGCGCTCAGTTCGGTGCAGGGGTTGAGTGGTACCAGTGGCTTCATACGGGGACGTGGAGATGCTAGGTGTCGAGCTAGCGATCGAAACATCTAAAGCTTCGGGGTCAAGGGCAACGACTAGGGACCCTATAGCAGAGTCTACAGTTTCGAGGCAAGGGTTACAGGACCTAGGGCTAAAAGCCGGGTTTGGGGGCTTTATGCTGAGTTCTATTGTCCCGCTACTTGCAGGTCTTGGTGAAAGTACCTTACCACCTGAATGGCATACCAGAGTGCCTGAGGGCTTTGGGATTCTAGGTCTTAAGGGCTTCTACTCCTGATTAGGAATCGAAGGCCTCC